CCAAAGTGGTTGGTGATAACGCAGATAGTACTGTTTACATATTTTTTATAATCACACAATATTTTTCCACTATCATAATGCTTTTGAGTACATCTTGTCATTTGTACACACATAATACTTTTTCTTATTTTTATTCTTTATTATTATTATTTTATCACTGCTGCTACTTTTTCAATTTTATTTTTACCGCTGCATCAAAACGCAAGAACACTGTTCGTTAAAATATTACGACTATTTTACTGTGGTCACTTTAAACAACAATTATATGCCATATTTTCTAAATGCAATCTTTCTATCTAATTCAATTTTCTAAATAATTATTCACTATGTTCAATACTAAACCACTATTTTGCTACACTCTCTCCACACTTTAAAAGTGACTGGCCGTACACGGTGGTACACTATTGCATGGTAATAATAAAAGCACTGTAAAATATCAAACCCTTTTTATGTTGTACAGCCTATCGTTGCAGTAATCTACATTTCTGTTGAAGGAATCGACACCGACATTGACTGAACGTTACGTACCCTCAAAGCTCAATATCAGCACTTTCAGTGCATCATCGTGACACCCTGCACTGTCAGTGCACTGCCCTCTGTCTGCCTCTGTCTGCCTGTCTTTCCCTCTCTAGCCATGTGTTGAACACTGTGCTCACTGGCAGAGCAGGGGCAGCAGAACACACAGTGCAATGTCTCACACACTGACAGCGGCAGTGATCGTTAAGAAAGTGAAGCGGCGCTCGCTGCCTGTTTGCCTTGAAGACGCAGCTCTGAAGCAGTCCCACCAACAATCGAGCCATTTTTGAACAACTCACAATTTTCAGTGCATCGGTGCTTTCCACTGTTTACATTGCGATCATCCATAGGCGGTGGTGTGGCTTTGTCGATGTTTTGCCGTATGGATGACTTGCCGTATGCACAGTGCTGAAGCAACTTGTAAACTCTAGAATCACTATCTGAGACAGTATGATCCACTCTTCTTCGGATGTCATCTCACTAGTTTGAGGTAAGCTGATTCATAAAGTTAATCTATTGCTAATTGAATCAATACTGTTTTTCTCTTTAGCAGTTTAACCGTTTGCACTCTGTGATCTTGCTTGGACCAAACTTTCACCATGAATCTCAATATTTATTTCCGATTTTTTCAACTCGCAATCCTTTTTTCCACTTGTTTGCATTTCATTAGCTGTGATTTCGATCCAAATGAAAAAGATTATTACCGCCTACTTAACGTAGACCGCACAGCAGATAACCGGGAAATTCGCAAAGCCTTCAAAAAACTTGCCTTAACATTGCACCCTGACAAAAACACAAATGATCCGAAAGCGCATGAAAACTTTCTCAAACTGAACCGAGCTTATGAAGTGCTGAAAGACGAAGAATTGAGAAACATTTACAATACACAAGGAGAACAAGGCTTGAAAAACAAAGAAAATGGCTTCAATCGTGGTTACCAAAACTGGAACTACTACTACGAATCATTTGGCATTTACGACAATGACGAGAAGATCTTTACGCTGAGCTGGTCAGATTTTGAGCAGTCCATTCGTGGTGTACATGCTCACGAGTTTATCTGGTTCATCAACTTTTACTCACCGCAGTGTTCGCACTGTCATCACCTGGCACCTGAGTGGCGAAAGATGGCCAAGCAACTAGGGGCCATCGTGCGCATCGGCGCCATCAACTGTGCTGAAGATCGGCCACTCTGTCAGCAGGAGGGCATTCGAAGTTATCCCAGTCTGGTGCTCTATCCAAGCAAGATTAAATTTGATGGTCAAAGAACATCAGAGAGCTTGGTGTCATTTGTTTTGAAAAACCTTAACATTAATGAGCAACAGTTTGATGACTCAACTTTGGATTGGTTTTTGAATTCGTTGAAAACATCTAAATCAACTCCGGCGGAAAAATACTTGATCATTTCATGCTTTGACGGCGTTGAATGTTTGCCGGATGACACTGTGAAAATGCTGACTTACAAAGTTCAAAACTTGTTAAAAGTTGCCAGTTTTAAGTGCTCTGCTGAAAACGCAAACATTTGCAAACATTTCGGCATACAAAAATCACAAGTTTCCTTGTTTTCAGATATTGCCAATGACCCTCAGAATTATGTCACAATTATTTCTGAAAACTCAAATGTTGAACCCGTCGATCTTTTTCAAAGAATAATGCAACATTTTCCCTCTGTGCTAACGATGACTGCACAACAAACCAAATTGCTCACAAAATGCCTCTATTCACCTGAGTCAAAAACACAACACGAATGCATTGAAAAGCTAAGCTCTGGTTGGGTTGTGGTTGCATTTGACTTTGATAATCTGCTTGAAAATTCAGATATAAACATTGAACTGAAAATGTTAGCTCACCTCATGCCAAATAATAACGTCCTAAAGGTTGCGTGCTCAAGCTCTTCAAAAGAGCAAGCAACAGCTGAATTGTGCAAAAAGCTGAACATTAAGAAGTATCCATCTGTAGTTACAGTGAAAGCTAACATTGATTTTGAGTACACTTCAGTTGAAATGTACTACGGACGACTGAATGCCATTGATATGCTCAACTTTGCATATGAGTCATTTCTTTCCAAACTACGTACGCTTACTGATGGGGAATTCGAGAAATCAGTGGTCAAAAGCACAGAACCAGCTGTTGTGCAGTTTTTTGCTCCTGTAAGTGTTTATGAGCTTATTTTATTTCAAAAACTTTAACTTTATAATTTTTGTTACTATAGTGGTGTCCAGCATGCAAAACAGCTAGGCAAACGTTGCGCAAGGTTTCCCAGCATCATTTCAACACAAAGTTGATTTTTGGAGTCATCGACTGCGGCGTTTACGGAACACTTTGCAAGCAATACAACATCAACTCATATCCGACTGTCATTCTCTACAATAGCACCGTACCGCACCAGTACTTTGGAAAATACCAGGAAGAGGATCTACTTGACTTTATTGAAGTAAGTACTGTAAACTTGTTTTTGCTTTTTTACTCGCTGGAAAGTTAAAAACTACTGTTTCATTTGTAGAACACTCTCAACTCGCACGCCATTGAACTGGACCCCTCTTCGTTTACCCTACTGGTCGATAAACGAACTGACCCGTCTGTTGTCTGGGCAGTTGACTTCTACTCACCCTACTGTCATCCATGCCAAGCACTGGCACCCATCTGGCGAAAACTTTCCAACTTGCTGGCAAACGAAGAGCCGAACAGTTTTAAACTAGGTGCAGTCAACTGTGTGAAGCACAAACATTTTTGTGGGCAACTTCAAGTGCAGTCCTATCCAACAATTAGACTGTACCCTTCCAAAGACGATCAAAAGCATGGACAGTCTTTTTAGTGAGTATACAACTAAAATGTTTTGTTTTGACTAGAACTACTGTAATTTACAACTTATATTTTATTTTTTAGTCGATTCAATGAACAAAGAAGAGATTTGTACACACTGCGAGCTTGGTTGTACGATTTTTTGCCATCATCTGTTGGAGAGATCACCAGTGGCAATCAGTTTGAAGAATTGATCACTTCGAACAAGCCGACACTGGTAGACTTTTATGCGCCATGGGCATTTTCTTCACGAAAATATGCGCCAGATTTTATTCAACTTTCAAAGGTACCCGGCATATAACTTAAAAATTTGTTGTATTTTATAAATTAACTAATTTCATTTTAATTTTTTCAGAATTTTTCTGAAATTAAATTTGTGCGCATAAATTGCCAGCGCTTTTCTTCACTTTGTGAACGTGCTTCAGTAGAATATTTTCCAACTGTTCGACTGTACGCTCAGTCAGTCAAAACAAAATCAGCTTTTTCCTGGATGGGCATTCATATTCAGTTTCCTGCTTCCAATGTGGATGAACTAAGCAGTGAAATTCGCTCATTTTTACCAAAATCATCAAATTCTGTGATTAAAGACGAACTTTGATTTTTATTTAAATTAAAAACTGCAATTAATTTGTATATTAAATCATTTTGAACTTTTTATACAAAAATTGCAAAATTTTTCTTTGTAATAAAAAAATAAAAATTGCAAATAACAAGTGCACTTTGACATACGAGCACACAAGTGTACAATGTGCTCTTACTTATTCAAAATGATTGGTCATCTCAAAGCACACCTTTGCATGTAAACCCAACAAAATTACTCTATTTCTAAGCATACTTTGCGCTAACCAGTCTAGTCTTTATCGGCCTGGGCCCCTGGGGAGCATTGGGGCAGAACAGAAACAAAGACAGTGTGCTCGCTCAGTTAGGTCGGTTTTGTTTACAGTCATTTTTGTATTAGCAGGGGACAGTTGAATATTGAGCCGGCTGTAGTTAACTGATTCACTGACAGAGGGCGACTCGGCCGAGCGTGGCAGACAACTGCAGTGAGGGAAAACTGTCTACTTTTTGCTGCCTTCATACAGCAAAAGCGAGTGAAGCTTTTAACACTGATTGTGCAAAAGCAGCCAAACCAAAGACGGCTTTACACTTTTGCCGCTGATTCTCATTGGCTTTTCCTCACTGCAACTGCCTGCCACGCTCCGCCGTGACGCCCTCTGTTGTTGAATCAGTTAACTACAGTCGGCTTAATATTTAACTGTCTCCAACTACTAGATCTCTTCGCTTTCTTCTGCTGAATCAGCTTTTTCACCGCATGAAAAAAATGTCTGAAACTGATATGTAAAATGATTTTTTTTGTAAAAAAATAAGAANCAGTTAACTACAGTCGGCTTAATATTTAACTGTCTCCAACTACTAGATCTCTTCACTTTCTTCTGCTGAATCAGCTTTTTCACCGCATGAAAAAAATGTCTGAAACTGATATGTAAAATGATTTTTTTGTAAAAAAATAAGAGAGTGCCAGTGAAAGAAAAGGAAGAAGAATCAGAGACCGTTTTTGATGTTAATGTTGAACAACCTGCATGAAATGGTAAGAGAACGATTTGTTTTTTACAGTTTGCGTTACTGATGTTATTTTTGTAGAATCAGTTATGAAAACAGAAGATCAGATTGAATGTACAATTGATATGTTTGATGATGAGTTTAACTGGATTATGGAACAAAATTTTTCTGCTGTTAAGAATGCCAATAAAACAAATGAAGCAATGAGGGTCAACGAAAAACACGAGACGGATTCGGATGATACTGAAATTGATGAAGATTATGCAGCAGGCAGTGGTGAGTGGTTTGTTTACATTCATTTTATATCTTAGGTAACAGTTTTCATTCTGCAGAACCTCAACAAGCTAAACCAGTAGCCAGCTGTAGCTCAAACTGTGCGTCAGGTGAACAACAGCTGAATGGTCGTCAAAGACGAGCTCGAAACCACAAATGTCAACAGTGCGACAAAAACTTCGATTCTCCATTTCGTCTCAAACAACACCAAGTGGTGCACACTGGCATACGAGCTTACCAGTGCCCAACATGCACCGAGTCATTTGGGTTAAAGAGAAATCTCAAACGACACCAAATGGTGCACAATAACATACGAACCTACCAGTGCCCAACATGCCCTAAGGCATTCAGTAGGGCTGATGTCCTCAAAGAACACCAATTACTTCACACTGGCAGTAAAGCGCACAAATGCTCAATTTGCTCGAAAGCCTTTGCACTAAAGTCTAATCTCGTTCAGCACCAATCAGTTCACAGCGACTCTCGACCATATGAGTGTTTCATTTGTAAACGTACGTTTAAATTGAAATGTGCTCTTGAAAAACATCTTCGAAAAGTGCATCCGCAGTAACACTACTTTAATGCCATCTTTATACTTGTCTCTCTTTCCATTCCCTTTCTTTTGCTGTCATTCAAAAGTTAACTAAAAATAAAAATTTGAACAATTCGGCTACAAACTTATTGATCTGTTGTGCTATTGAAAACTGAAGACACTGTCTGTTTCCTCGTCAGCGAATTGCCCCCATCGCACTGACCGGTCTAGCTCTATTGCCCTGGGGCCCTGGGGAGCACTGTGGGCAGAGCAGAGACAGAGACAGTATGCTCAGTCGGATCGGTTTTGTTTTAGTGTTTTTGTAGTTTTTTTTGTTTTTTTCAGTTGCTTAATCCATTTCAGTTCTTGTTGCTTAAATATCTGAGACTGAGCAACTAAACTTATAATATGTACAACGATAAGTTTGATTGTGTGTATGAAAAATGTGAAAAAGAGAAAGTGGATGTAAAAGAAGAAGAAAATTCAAAAACTGAGAACGATGTTTTGGAAAGTGTTGATGATCAATCAGCAAACAATGGTACGTAAATAATTTATTTGTTGCTTCTACTTTTCACTCTATTTATTTTACTTTTTATTCAGAGTCTCAGTCAACTAAATCAGTGATCAAAACTGAAAAGCAAAATAAATCTAATGTTGCTACTTGGCCTGATCTGAGCCGTTTTACTAACATTACCATTTACGATTTAAAGCTTCATTTGAGTTTGTTAAAGGAGTATTCTGCCAAAAAGAATGCCAATGAAACGAATGAGACAGTGAAAGTCAAGGAAAAACACGAAACTGATTCGGATTCCACTGAAATTAATGAGGATGATCATTCAGCAGTCAGTGGTGAGTGGTTTGTTTACATTTATTTTATTTTTTAATCAACACTTTTTATCTTTCAGAATCTCAGTCAACTAAATCAGTGATCAAAACTGAAAAGCAAAATAAATCTAATGTTGCTACTTGGCCTGATCTGAGCCGTTTTACTAACATTACCATTTACGATTTAAAGCTTCATTTGAGTTTGTTAAAGGAGTATTCTGCCAAAAAGAATGCCAATGAAACGAATGAGACAGTGAAAGTCAAGGAAAAACACGAAACTGATTCGGATGCCACTGAAATTAATGAGGATGATCATTCAGCAGTCAGTGGTGAGTGGTTTGTTTACATTTATTTTATTTTTTAATCATCACTTTTTATTTTCAGAGTTTCAACAAAACACCGAACCACTGGTCAGCCGTAGCTTGAGCAGTTGTGAAAAGCAAACTAAAAACCACAAGTGTCCGCATTGCGACAAAAGCTTTTCAATTGCAACTGCTCTCAAACGACACCAGCTGGTACACAATGGCATTAAAGCCTACAAATGCCCAATATGCTCCAAAGCAGTTGGGCAGAAAAGTACTCTTAAAACACACCAACTGCTCCATACTGGCATTCAAGCGCACAAGTGCACAATTTGCACTAAATCCTTCTCACTAAAGTCTCATCTCACTCGACACCAGTTGGTGCACAATGACGTTAAAGCCCACCAGTGCCCAACATGCTCCAAATTATTCAAGGAGAAGGGTGATCTTAAGAAACACCAACTACTTCACACTGGCATTAAAGCGCACAAATGTACAGTTTGCTCTAAATCATTTACGCAAAAAGGTAATCTCACTTCACATCAAGCAGTTCACAACGACACTCTACCGTTTCAGTGCTCCACTTGTGAAAAAACATTTAAATGTAAAAGTTATCTCAGAAAACATCTTCGAAAAATGCATCAGCAATAAGACTACCTTAATGTCATTTTTATATTTTTTTCTTTTTTCATTTTCTGTCTTTTGTTGTCATTGAAAAGTTAATTATAAATTAAAAACTTGAGCATTTTAATTACAAATTTTTTTATCTAATGTGCCATTAAAAACTGAAAACACCGTCGGTCTCCCTATTTGCGAATTTCCCCATTGCAAACTTTGCACTAGCCGGTCTAGCTCTCTTGCCCCTGGGCCCTGGGAAACACTGTGAGCAGAACAGAGACAGAGACAGTGTGATTGTTCAGTTGGGTCGGTTTTGTTTACATTCACTTTCCTCGCTTTTAGTTGTGAAATCTAATTTTATTTTTTTGCCATTTGAAAGAAAATGCCTGAAACTGAGAAGCTGTTTGAAACTTATGATACGTACGACGAGTTTGATTGTGAGAATGAAAAAAGTGAAAATGAAAAAGTGGCAGTGAAAGAAGAAGAAGATTCGGAGACTGGTTTAGATAATGTGGAAAATGATGGTTAATCAGCAGTCAATGGTAAATGAATTGATTATCTTACACTTTACTCATTTTATTTTTATTTAGAATTTGAAACAGTGGTAAAAACTGAAAAGCAAAATGAATCTACAATTGATATGTTTGATGATAAGTTTTATTTAATTATGGAACAGGATTTTTTTGCCAAAACAAAAGCTAATGAAACGAGTGAATCAGTAAGTGACAAAGAAGAACTTGACACCGATTCGGAAGAAACTGAAATTGACAATGACTATGCAACAGTCAGTGGTGAGTTGTGTTTACAATCAGTGTATATCTTTCGATTAACACTTTTTTGTTTGGCAGAATCTGAGCATAACACTGAACCAATGGTCAACCATAGTTTGAGCAGCTCATCAGGTGAACGACAGATGAATTGTCGTCAAAAACGAATTAAAATCCACAAGTGTGTGCAGTGGGGCAAAAGCTTTAAGTGTTTATCTCATCTCAAAACTCACCAGCTGGTGCACACTGGCATGAGAGCGCACAAATGCCCAAAATGCTTTAAAACATTTGGGCAGAAGTGTGATCTCAAGCGACACCAACTAGTGCACACTGGAATTCGAGAGCATCAGTGCCCAACATGTTTTAAATCATTTAGGCAAAGGGGTACGCTTGTGAAGCATCAACTGGTGCACAGTAGCATTCGGTTTTACAAGTGCACTACATGTTCCAAGACATTTGGATTTAAGAATAATCTAAAAAACACCAGCTAGTTCACACTGGAATTAAAGTACATCAGTGCACAATTTGCTCAAAAGCATTTGCACTAAAGTCTAACCTCACAAAACACCAAGCATCTCACAGCCACTCTCGACCGTTTCAGTGCTTTATTTGTGAAAAAACATTTAAAAGAGATGAAGATTTCAAAAAACATTTTCGAGCTAAACATCATCAGTAAAACTACCACAGCTGTCTTTATATCAGTTTCTTATTATTCCATAACTTTTTCTTTTGTTGTCATTCAAAAAATAATTAAAAATAAAAGAACTTGAACAATTTTGTTACAAACTTATTTATTGGCAGTGCCAGTTAAAACTAAAAAAACTGTCAATCTCACCATCAGTCAATTAAACAGTGCATCAAGTGAACAACATCTAAATAGTCGTCAAAAACGATCTAAAAGCCTCAAGTGTAAACAGTGCGACAAAAACTTTGATCATTAATCTAATTTCAAACGACATCAAGTGGTGCATACTGACGTACAAATGTACAAATGTACAACATTTTCCAAATCATTTGGACATAAATGTAATCTCACGACTCATCAGCTGATTAACACTAACACTAAATTTTTTAAACATACAATTTGTTTTAATTTATTCAAAACTTCTAATGTTTTTAGAAAACGTCAAGTAATTTACACTGACATAAAGGCTCACAAATGCACAATTTGTTCTAAATCATTTAGACAAAAAACTAATTTCACGCAGCACCAAGCAGCTCACAGCGACTTTCAACCTTTTAAATGCTCCATTTGTGAGCAAACATTTAAAACGAACATATTCACAAAACATTTTCAAAAAATCCATCATCAGTAGCTTTTTTGTTTGATGTAATCTAATTGTAATTAAATAACAACAAACAAAGTTTATTTATCAACTTATAAAAAATCATTTTAAAAATTTACCTAGTGTTTGAATCAATTTAAAAAGTAAAATTAAAATCCCTTTATTTTGTTTGCATACTCAAATGTTATTGAATCGCACATCGTTGGAAAAGTAAAAATCTCCTGATTACAAATATGTAAATATCTAAATAGAGTCCTAAACGGTTTCCAAAAAAACCGGATCTAAACTGAACCTTTGGCTCTGTTTCTTCTGTTGCTGCTTACGTTACCTAGTAGAGTGAAACCGCGGCGCTGTTGCTAAAATGCATGTTTTGGACCCGATTTTCTCGAGAATTGTTTTTGGGTTCCATTTAGATTTTTACATATTTGTAATTAGAGCATTTTTAGCTTTTTAACGATAGGCGATTTAAAAACATTTGAGTATGCAAACAAAATGGGGGGATTGTTTATGGAAAATTGTTTTCACTTTTTTGGTACCATTTGAAAGATGTCTATTAATTTGATTTTGAATAAAACTCGTTTAAATATCTTAAACAATGTAATTAATAGAAACAATAAAATGCTTTGAAGCAAAAAAAATATTTTAAAGAGGTAAAATAATTAATTTTTACAAAATTAAAAATTGCAATTAATTTGTTTATGAAATAATTTTTAGGTTTTTATACAAAAAATGTAAANTTTTCACTTTTTTGGTACCATTTGAAAGATGTCTATTAATTTGATTTTGATTAAAACTCGTTTAAATATCTTAAACAATGTAATTAATAGAAACAATAAAATGCTATGAAACAAAAAACATATTTTAAAGAGGTAAGATNTTTAAAGAGGTAAAATAATTAATTTTTACAAAATTAAAAATTGCAATTAATTTGTTTATGAAATAATTTTTAGGTTTTTATACAAAAAATGTAAAACTTTTACATGTAATATAAAAAATTTAAAAAATGTGTATTTTAAGTAAATGACTTGTTGTTTATATATAAAATAAAAAAAATAAAAATGTTTTTGTAAAAAAATTTTAAATAATTGTAAAATTACAAAATGCTTAATTGATTCATTTCATTAGCCAGTGATTTGTTGACAAGACGACGTTTTATTTTTTGACTTTTAAGTTTTTTCGTTGTTCGTTTAACTTTTTTACGGTTCATTTTATCAAGATTTAATGTTCGGTTAACATTTGATTGATTACAGANAACTTTTACATGTAATATAAAAAATTTAAAAAATGTGTATTTTAAGTAAAGGAATTGTTGTTTATAAATAAAATAAAAAAAATTAAAAATGTTTTTGTAAAAAAATTTTAAATAATTGTAAAATTACAAAATGCTTAATTGATTCAGTTCATTAGCCAGTGATTTGTTGACAAGACGACGTTTTATTTTTTGATTTTTAAGTTTTTTCGTTGTTCTTTTAACTNATATTCAAGTCAGTTGTTTTTGTTTTGTTTTTCTTGTGCCGTCGAACTCTGTGGCGTTTTTTCAAGTTTTTAGCTTTTTTAATCACTATCTTGCTTTCAGACTGACTTCCACTATCTGGGTATTCGCTTGCTGATGATCCTTCAGTGTCTTTTGGACGATTTTCTCGATTTGAAAGATGCCAATAGAAAGGATGATTTGGATCAAGAATGAAACGTTTTGTTTTTGTTGAAGATGCCAAAGAAGGAGATACTTTTTTGCTGTCAATCTCTCTAGAACTGCTGTTATTGCCAAGAGATAGTTCTTCCATTAAATTTTTAAGAGCATTTAAGCTTTTGCGTTGTTTGGCTCTTTTCCCCATTTTTAAACACAAAAAAGTAATCTAAAAAATAATAGTGAGTTTCAATTAAATGAAATTAACGAAAATAAATTTTATACATACTTTTTGATCAAATTTATGTCAATAAACTTTAGCACGTTTAAAAAACAAAGTTTTTATACAAATAAAAACATATAACTACGCATTCGTCCTTAAAGTTTAATGCGCAACTTAAAATTAAAACAAATCAGCGCACGTTTTAACACGGTCATTTTTTACCTTTTTCTCTCAATCAAAAACTTAGTGGGCAACACTGCACAATAATTTTTGCCGTTGTAATTGCAAGCACTGTTGACAGTGCAACACATAATTTTTGAAATGGTCGCTACCGCCCACATATGAGATGAACTAAATAAGTAAAGAGATGATTCGTTGCTCAATATATACCGGATACTTTAGTTTGTTCACAAATTATTTAAGTTGTTTTGTTTTTTATTTATTAATTTAGTGTTTACCTTTCTTATTTAGTTAAAGACAAAGTTTGTTTATTAATAACTTTAAATTAGTTTTTACTATGCAAAATATATAAAATATATTTTCCATTGAAAGTTTTGCTTAAATAAAAAACAGCAAACTCCTGTAAAACACTACAATGGGTCATTCAAAAAGCTTTAAAATCTTGTTTTTATTCAGTGTTATTGTTTATTTTTGTTGAACAACTTTTACTAAAAAATGTCATTTGCTGTGTTTTAAAAATGTGTTTGTGTGTTTTGATTACTGTTAAATAAATAGCTTAAATTGTATCTATTTTTGGGCTTGACATTGTACATTTTTTTAACTAAGGTTAGTATTAGTGCAACACTTATTTTAATCTTCTTTAGCAAATAAACTTATTCTAGACGCAAAATTAGACAAATCTTAAATTACTAAATTTAAAAAGAATGCACAAAACAGTGTTTTATTTTGCTAATATTATAAAAAAACTGTAAAAGTGTACGTTTACTCAGTCAATCAGCAAATCAGCGGTGGCTGAGAAAAAGTCCGACAAAACGGAGTCAGCCGAGCAAAAACAGGCAACTTCGTTGCGCACCAGATTCAATTCTCGTGATGGCGGCGTTGGAGCCGTCACCGTTACTTTTCTTCCTTCTCTCTCTCTCTCTCTCCTTTGCTTTACCGCAAATGCCCGTGCAAGTGCTGCTTCTGCAGCTGCTGTTCAGCTGCGGCCGCTGTTTCTGCCACTTCTGGTGCTCTCATTTGCGCGCACATAACATTCGCTTCCTAGTGTGTGTGTCGTTTGCGCCCTGTGCATCACCGCAGATTGCTCACCGATGGCCAACTTTGAGTCAACAACAAAAATACCTTGTTATTGTTTTCTTGTTTAATCAAAGTAATACTACTACTTTGTCAATCAAGTGATTTTGCCAAAATTTTGGTTCATCAACTAACTCAGACAGCTACTTTAAACCTATGGTATAGTTTTTTTTAATTTTTAAAATTTAAAATTTAGCAGGTGTAGATAATGCTACAATATTTTGCATGTATTGTCAAAAGTTTAAACTAGCAATTAAGTATTGTATTAAAAAAACGTAAAGTTAAGCTAGTGCTGTAATTTGAAACTAACTAAAAACTTGCGTTCTATGTGACTTTTTAAACTTTTTTAAACTCTATGGAAATCTATTTTGAATGTTTTTAATGTAGTACCTTTAAACATAGTTGTTGTCTGCTTTGGTTTAAAACATACATTCATTAACAAACAGTTTTTATTAATACAGAAAATGCAATTGGAATACTAGTTTTGCGCTTCAAGAAAACAAAAAGTTTATTGAAAAAATTTTAATTTTATAGTTTTTTCAACGTTTTCCAATATAATTGGCAAAATTTTTAAAACATTATTCAGTAAAATGGCAGCTAGCACACCTGAATGCACTGCACAAAATCCCACTTCTTCAAATAATATTCCGACAGCACCTCAAACAGTAACTGCAACTGCAGGTTGCGCAAATGTATCTTCTTATGAATCTCACATATCTCCCGCTACATCATCTTCATCATCATCTTCTTCAACCGTTTCCACGTATTCTCCAATCAGTGTTGATGATCTGATTAAAATGGCCACCGGAGCCAACATATCAAGTTCTAATGAAAACGATACGACTAACTCTTCGTTGAATGATTTTGGTTTAAAATCAAATTCAAATCCGCGTGAAACTCAGCATTTTAGTGAAATTATACCAAATCTGTATCTCACTTCAGCCAATCATATCACTGATGAAAACATATCAAGTTTTCAGATTACTTACATAGTCAATGCCACTAGGACAGTCCCTTTGAAAAGACAAGTCAAATCTATGAGAATAAATGTAAGTTTTATAAAAATTATTTAATTAAATAGTTTTCAAATTTTTTAATATTTGATTTACCAAATTTAGATTCTTGATTCTCAATACGAAAAAATTTGCAATCACTTTGATACAGTTAGTGATTTCATTAACGATGCTCTTAAAAACAACCAAAAAGTTGTTGTGCATTGCATTTCTGGCATCAGTAGAAGCTCAACTCTGATTATAGGTATGTATACGTTTACAAACAAATGCCAACCTTGTTATTGATACATTTTTTTCGTTCAGCATTTTTAATGAAGTATAAAGATATGATGTTAAAAGATGCTTTTAATTTGGTACGATCTAAACGATGGTTTATACGCCCAAACACAGGGTTTTTTCAACAACTCGTAGGTAAGTTTTAACTTTTACAACTGATTAATAGATACAAAATTGACAACATTGTTTTACTATTTTATCGTTTTTGCAAACTAAAGATTACGAGCACAAACTGTATGATATAAATACAGTCAAAATGGTTTATTCTGAAGCAGCTGGAACTCATGTTCCTGATTTTATTCTTCAAGACAGCTCTAATTATAAATTTTTTTATTTATGCATTAAAAAATAAACAAAGTTATTTTTGTTAAAGCAAACATGTCCGATAACCTGGTTATTTTAAATTGTATTTATAAAATATAAAAGTTATAAATATAAATTTTGTTATATTGTTGTTTATTGTAAAGCACACATCAAAGTTTATATTTTTTATTAGTTTGTTAACTTGTTAACTTTTAGTTTTCAAACAAAATAATTTTTTTAGTTGCAATAAATTTATATTTTTAAACATCAGTGTTAATATCATTAAAAAGTGGTCGAGAAGTCATTAATTCCCATCCAATACTTGAATTGGTCAATGTTCTTGAGCGAAATTGAATTTCTTCTTCCTCTTCTTTTGCCCATTCATAATACTGTTGCATTTGAAAGTAATAGTTATTTGTACTATAAAAAATTAAACAATTGCTTAATATTTTCAATTCAAATTATAAACTTACGTTTTATGTATAAAAAACAAGAAAATGATGGCAATAATACATAAAATAAGTTGTTCAATATATTGAATATTTACTAAGAAGCTGGTTATGTCAAAATTAAAAGTATTTAAATTTAGGTTTTGGTTTATTAACTTAGTCGCACAATGGAACTCATCGGCAGCAGTACTTGTGCATTGAATATGACCATCACATCGATGCTCAGATGGAACACATGTCATATCAGTGTCAAAACACGGGAACTGTGTTTCAGAACAAATAATTTTAACTTTTGTGTTTATAAAATCAACTGGATGCTCTAAAGTTAATGTAAAACAACAAACTAAATAGATTAAAAATGTAATAAACATTGTTTAAAAATTTTTGATATTAGAATAATAATTTGATGCGTTTCTAAATTCAAATGATAAGGTTTAGCATTTAAATGTTGTTATTATTGTTAATGGTTTGGACAACACACATTGCGTTAAAAACGTCACAAAGCAATTTAATACAAAACTGCTTTTTATTAAACAATGTCTATTTTCGAGACAATTACCAAACATCCGAAACTAATTTTTATGTTTTTTCCGGAACAATAACATCCACAAGATGTTTTAAAACAATTGCTTGAAAATTATTGTTTTTAAATGACATATTCATCTATTTTTTATGAAACTAATGTTTTTTGACATACATTTTTGCAAAATCAAAATAAATTTTAATAAATTTTAATATTGTTTTATTTATAATTATTTGACTGTGTGTATTTATTATGATCAAATTATCAATTTTTTAGAAACTTTTTACAATGAATTTTACTTTGCAAAGTGTTTTGTGCACAAACAAACATTTAAAAAAATTTAAAATTTATTTAAGTATTTTGAATTTGGTTTTCGTAAATTGATCTAAATCTGATCAATTTTACATTTTAAAAAAAACTTTACACGTTCAACTCAAGCATAGTTGAACTTACTAAAAATATAATGTAGACGACTGTGCATAAAACGCCTGTTTGAAGAGAAAGTCGCCAATTGGAAACTTTGAAAATTATCAACATTGCACCAATGGTAAGAAGAAGTGTCACTGAGGTCAACGGCAGTGCAGTGCTTTGAATTGGAATGGAAGCAGCAGCTAAAGTTGCAAAGCCTACGCCGTTTCGAACAATCATCACAAAGGTTTTCAGCAGCCAAGGCAGACCAAGGCAAAAGAGAATGTCAAAAATGTTGGAGCCAATCGAATTACAGATGGCCATATCTGCCAGGCCAGCTTTCTTCACAATCAAGTATGAGCTGATCAGCTCAGGAATGCTGGTGCCAGCGGCCAAAATAGTGATTCCCGACACAGTGTCAGGTATGCCCAGGGAGAATCCTAAATCAGAATGCATTTTGTTAATTAAAGTGCATCGCAGTAAAGTGTGCAGGTGCAGGCTACTTACCGACTAAAGTAACCATCCAGACGATGAGGTACGTCAGGAGAGCAATCCACATGATTGAGCTGAGAAAGGTGAAGACAAAGCAGAAACGTGAAGGTTTTGGCAGTGTCATGCAGAAGAGCACCGTAAATGGAAAGAGGAGAATTCGGATGATGGCATTGTCGGTCCAATCGGCGCCCTCACCATTTGGTTGAAACTCCAGCAGCAGCGGCTCATCAGAAGCATCCCCATGACGATGAGGGGAATGAGTGCCAGGTCTGCCCGTCGGCCGCCGGTCAGCAGTCAACAGATGATGATTACCCTCGACGTCGTACGCTCTTTTGCCTCGTTTGGTCGTGGACAGTGCCTGGTGAATGGCCTCGTAGTCCAGATCCGGCTCAGGAGATGGCGTCCCGTTGGAGGAGGAGGATGGCGAAACGGAATGAATCTCCTTGAACTTGCCATTCGACGAGGGTGTTAGTTGAATTTTGGAGTAGTCCAGCGGCACCACTAGTTCAGCGTTCGGTGCCGAGGGAATGATCGACAGCTGCTGATCGACAGTCACAGGCACTGCTGGCACCGCTAAGACGGCAGGCTGACTTCGAGATCGGTGGTTCGGCTTAGAGTGAGCTCGGTGGAGGTGCTGGTGGTGCTGGTGGTGATTGTGCTGGTGCTGGTGACTGTGCTGGGTCTGACCAGTGGCCTGGTACGCAGGTGGCGGTGAGATTCGAGAGTGATCAGTCTGCTTGAGGAGAAGTGGCTGACTTTCAAATGGCATCTCCGTTTCGGAGTTGGAAAAGTCAATGGACAACGTCCGACAGCAGCACTTCTTTGCCTTGCACTGCTTTTGACCACCCTTCAGCTCGTTAATTGAACTGGCTGAGCCGCTCAGCGAATGATGAGTGTACTTTTTGGAGTCCTTTTGAACCAGATTGGCTATTTGAGCATTGAAGTACATGATAATGATGTAAACGGCGTACAGGCAGAGAAGTATGATAGATTCAATCCTGTTAAAGAAAAGAATGGGAAAAAGAGTTTGGCTCAACTATGATTAAAAACTCATTAAGAAAAAAACTGACCAGTCCACTTGGTTGTCCTTAATGCAAAGAATCAGTGTGATAATAGAAAGAACGTAAAAGAGCGTATCACGAACAATGGGAAAAGAGGTGATCTTTGGCATCACTTTGAGATTATAGTAGGCGGCGAAACTGCAGGCACCAGGAATGGCAATCAAGTTAAACACAGCAGAACCGACAATAGTGCCAACACCAATGTCATTGTCGGAAACAAAAACGCCAATGATTGAGGTGAACAATTCTGGAGCAGATGTACTGAATAAAAAACAAAATAACAATGTTACAAAAGTGCCTAACACTGTAATAAAAAAACAAAAATACAACAAGTCATCTTTGTCCGCTTTTGTAACAGTTTCAAAATAATAAAAATCAAACAAATCAATCAATCTTACCCGATTGCCATAAAAGTTGCTCCAGTTATGTGTGCGGGAATGTTTAGAGCTGTAGTAAACAACAAAATAAACAGAAAAAATTAGTTGATATAAAAAGTTAACTTTTATGGCAAAACTATTGTGTTAGTACCGTCGGAAATGTACTCCAGTGACTTCAGAAAATAGTTATCACAGATGACAGCCAAAGCTAAGGAAAGGTAGGCAAAAATTGCAATATGCACAACAAAACCTCCTTTTCGGCGAACCTGTAAATAAAATTTTGTAAATCACAATTGAAACACAATTTTACTTTATAGTTTTGTAGTTAAATAAAAAAATTAAACTACAGTTTTTAAATAAAGTTTAAAATTAAATTTATTAAAAAGTAATTTTTAAATTATTGTCAAAATATAAAAATTTATTTAATTATCTTGTCATGTCTGACACTATGTACTTGAAACAATGCTAAACACTAGTTGTCTAGCAATCAATTGTTTACTGACTTAAAGCAACCGCTCGTTTAATTAATGCTACCAAGTGTCTGATAAGAAAAACGGTAATGGAGACAAATTAGCCTGCCGCTGAAATCGATGCACCATTACCAGCAGCCGATCATACGGTTCATCGCTTTTACTTTGATTGAGCTCATCTTTTGCAAGAAAAATACAATGATAGATGGCTAAGCAAACAGAGGAAAATGAGTGGGAAAAATAATGAGAACTCGAATTGCTTTGTTTTAGTTGTTCATTGCACTCTCTTTCTTTTTCTTTCTATCTCTTCTCAAACACATTTAAACATATTTGTTTTTATTTTTTGTCAATAAAAATAATGTTTTGTTTTTGCTTTTAGCACTGTCAAACAGTAAACCTCAATAGCAAGTATTAAAAGCAACCACGTGTATGAACTTGTCAATCAAAATGTATTGATTGCTTTGAAACTAAACTTGTGTCACTCTAAACAGTGTAATTTTGTTGACAGTAGCTATTTACTTTGGTGTTTGCTTTGAATCTAACCATTGCAAATAAAACCTAAACTTGACAAAATACCATATAAAAAAGCTTACCCTATCGCTCATGAAATCAGGCGGAAACTCATTAATTGCAGATACCGCTCGGTAAGGCTTGTTGATAGTCAAATTGTCGGCTAGATGATCACTGAAAGTGATGCCTACAGCGGGTGCTGAATAGCTGCCAAGCAAAGTTTGGGCTGCTGCCTCGACCATTTCCACATTTCGCTTCTTCTTATCGGCAATGTCCTTTTCAATAAAGGCAATGAGTTTTTCTAAGTTGGCGACTGCTGAAGCGTTCACTTCACTTGAGTTTTCCAAGGAAACAGAAAGTGTACTGGGCTCAGTTTTAAGGTGCTCAATCGCCTGCTCATCATAGTAATCGGCAGACTGATTGAGGACAATATTTCGCATTAGCTGGTCAGTTGATGATTGAACTGCGACCACAGGAGGAACGAAGATGGCTGAACCAATCAGACAGAATATTGAAAAAAATGGCAAAATGTTGATCCAACTTAAATTTGTCTCAATCACGCAAGAACATCCATTTTGTTTCATGATGCTTAAGTGTTTTTGTGTGTCCAATCTATAATAATTAAAGCAAAATAATAAGATAAAAGCATTAAATATGCTAATATGCAAAAGTTAAATCAATCAAATTAGCAAACAAATCAAATTTTTTTATATTTTTGCACAAAGTTAAATAAAACTGTATAAATGTTTAATGTTTGATTAAAATTAAAATAAGTAGAAAAAATAATTATAATAAAACACAATTTTGCTAAAAATTTTTGCTATAATTTTTAACATAAAAATAAATTTTAACAAATTGTGTACCAAAATAAAATGTAATCCTATTATATAAAAAATAATTAAATGCAAATTTTTTAACAACTTTGAACTTGCTTTATCATTTTTCCCTTGATAGTGGCTGTCATAAAAACATTTCATCTTGTCAAAATGAATTTGATAATCAGGCTACTTACAAAATAAAAAATGCAAAAAAATTTTTTAGTTAACTGATTTTAAAAATTTATCGTTTTATTAAATTAAAAATATAGTATTTTAAACATTTTGCTTTTAGTTTTACATTGCACATATAAAAAAGTATAAACAAGTATTCTGAAATACGAGATAATCAAAAACAAAAAAAGTATTGACTTCAAGCAGTTATTTTTTTAGTAAATCTATTTTATAATAGATATATTATCGATCGAATTGCAAAGTAATAAGAAACAGCAAAAACAATAAACTATAGAACTTGACTTGTATGAATTGAAAAAAAACTATAAAAAATTTAATAAATAATTGGAAATTTAATACTAAATAAATGACCCACATTGAAAATAAGAATGCTTAAATTTATCACAAAATCGCAAAAACAATTTTGGATAAAATTACTTACACTACAGTTTTTTTCTGTGTACACTTTTTCATTTTTGTAGACTTTATGGATGTTAAAAGATTCAGTTTTTGCTGTCAATGACAAAACCAAATATTTTTGGCTCTTGTCGTCGTAGCAACTGAAGTATGATGTCAGCTGTTGGATTGTTTAACTTTTCTTAATTGAACTTGTTTGCCAACAAGTAACTGAAGATGTTGTTAAAAAACATTATTTAGACTTCAAAATAAATTAAACGAGAAATACAACAAGACGGTTGACAACAAAAACATTTGTTAACTTTTCAAGCGTGTCTAAAGTCAATGATCTCACTCGTTCAATTGGTCAAAACATGTGGTTTTTGTGGGGCGATCTGATCAGTTTCAAGTTGCACTTGTCAGAGGCTGTGAAGCTCAAAGGAAGGGAACGTTGACAGGTTGAGGGGAGGCGTGAAGATGGGCACGGAGTAAAGGATACACATGCACACCACAATGATAGCACTAATCGACGATTGTATCGACGAAAAGTGGCTAGATAAAAGTGCAACTTTTAGATTAGCAGCAGCATCATCAGCAACAGCAGAAGCAGCTGACAACTTTTCCTACTGACTTTTTTCATCTATTACTTTTCTCACGTTTGCCTAAATGCCCATTTTCATCTTATCAGCTGCAAAGTGATCAATGAAGTAAGCGGGGGAAATCTCCCGTCCACACAACTGAAAAACCGCTTTGCCGCTAATTGACAGCTAGTTTGATTTGGCTCTGATCACCCCTCAACTTGATCAGCCGCTGATCACTGGTGGTGAGTGTGGGACCGAGTTTTGAAAACCAAAACCACAGGGAGTCGTCGGCTTGCAAAAGTGAGCCTACAGGCAAACAGTGGACAGGCAAACAACGGGGTGAAATTGAAGATGCAGTTGGCAAGTTGAGCCGCTCAAGTTGACATAAACGAAAACTTTAGTCGATAAGAATAAGATAGGAATGATGTCTCAGGCGTTTATTGATGATCACAAACACAAAAATGTCTGTGACCAGTAGAAAAAAACCAGCAAACAGATCACTGATGAATGCCAAATGTACAGATCATATGTCAGATTAGGAAAATAGCAAACGAAAATAAAAAAATAAACAGATTTCTCAAGTTCAAATGAACTTACAGCAATGTTTTTATGTTTCAGCAACTCAAGGCAAATGCTTTTATGTTTAACTTGAAAAAACTGCGAAAAATTGTCAAATATTTAGTTGTAAAAAACACTACAACGTCAATAAGTAAAACTTTTTTAAATATTAACAAATGAGAGTAACATAATAACAAAAAACTCATCGCACTTAAGTGATAGGGAAATTGCACTTAAAGTTTAGAGAACAGGATTTAATGGGATCTCAGTTAATGACAATTTTAAATTTCAACAACAATTAAATTAAAGTAAGTGAAAATAATGTTAAACTTTTTTTTACAAATGTTTAATTTAGTTTGCAACGTTAAAGAATATAAATAAAAACTTTGCTCAAAAATGTTTTTACATTTTAATAATGCTTTTTTAAAAAATTTAAAATAGGTTTATTGTTTTTGACTATGCCATACGCATTAGCTAAAATGCAAACAAACCGAAATGACGTCAATGCGCTTTTGAGTTAAGTTTAACCCAAATAAATTAAGCAATTGGTTTAAAAATAAAACTATTTATTTAAATTTTTATCATTTTGTCTTAATACGCTAATGATTGTTTAAATAGCAATCACTCATTTTACAAACATCCATTAACAGATTGCACTTAGATTCAATTAACGGGTTTTAGTTTGATTTTTTGTTGTTTTTGAAACAGCAACTCATTTGCAGCAACTGTAGTTTAAACGTGATTAATTGCAAAAGTGTACCACTTAGCTACCTTAATTAGCCAGTTTCTGCCTTATATAAAAGTTTTCATCTTCCTGTTGCTGATTTCTGCTTTTTTACTTATAATTGCATTAATTTATGCGCAATCATTTAGTAGGGTATGCGCTTAAGTGCGAACACAATGAGGTGCATTTTTGCTGGTGGTTTAGCACTACTGGCGATTAGATACACATAAGATGCACCGTTTTAGTGATTGCAGAAAAAAAGCAAGTGTACAGCGTCAAACTGATGAGCACCCACAGATTAGGTGTTGTTTTGTTACTGTTGTCTTGATACACACCAAGCACAATGTTTGTTTCTTTTTTGATTAACTTAAAACTCAGAGATAATGTTTTTTACTTTTTTGAGAAGATTGCATGTTAAATTGTTAAACAAATTAAATACTATAAAAGTGTGATATTGTTAAAAAATTTAATATAAAAAATTGCAAAAATATTTTTTTGTTTAGGGCTCTACAAATTAATTTTAAGTTGTGGTTCTACAAGTAAAGTTAAAACTAAAAAACTGGTATTTTTTAAAACTTTTAAATTTAAACAATATTTAATACTAAAACTGTTTGTTGTCATTCAATGTAACACTTTTAAATTTAAATTTTTTAAATTGCGTCAATAAAAATATATTTTTTTTGCGTTAATGTTTGTTTAGTTTGTAAAAATCATTTTAATGCTCAGTCACGTTAGTACGCTGGACAAAAGAGTTGACTTGTGTTTTGTTTGTTTGTAATTTTTTTTGCAAACGCATTTGTTTTATTTTAAATCGATAACTGCCAAATAACAATGATAATCGCAAAATGAATCGGGCGTACAAACGCCAATTTTTTGAAATTTTGTAGCGGATTGTTGGTTTAAAATGGTCGTTTTATGTTTTTAAAAACACAGATTTTACATTAGTTTTGTTTATTAAAATAAACAAAACGAGTTTTTCAAATTAAAAAAACCGATAACTAGCATTAACTGAACTTTTATTGATCAATAAACTTTTAGATATAAGTTTCTATAAATTTAATGATTAAAAAACAAGGTTTTTTGCTAATAAAACCATTTGTTTTTAAATACCATTTAAAAAAGTGTTTTGCCACAATAAACTTTAGGTGTAATCAACCATTAAAAAAATTGTTAGTTTTTTAACATAAAAATGGTATTACTGACAACTAAACAAAACACTTTTAATTTAAATGTAAATACATGTCCAATGTAAAAAAGCAATTTTAGTGTTTAGTAAAAACATTTAAATAGATAGTGTGCTAAAACGGTTGGACAACATAAATTACGAAAACCTCAATAACATAAAATAAATCGAAATTTGGTTTTTAGTGCAACAATATACCGTTTTAGAATACTAACGACATTTATCAACTGCTACTTTATGTTCTTAAATAAGTGGTCACAAAAATTGTCACAATGGCAAAAAACAAAAACTGTCTATTTTAAATTTTAAAAAATTTTTAAGTTTAATATTGTCAAAAAATTAATTTTTTTATTTAAAAGTTTTGATTTTAATTGGGTTAATGAAAATGGCCTAAAAAAATAAAAACAAAAATTTTTTAAAAATAGAATAATAAAAAATAAAAATTTGTTTTAAAGTAAAATAAAATATTGTGATAACTAATAACTAAAAATAAAGGACAATTGTTTTAAACCAAATTTTTAGGCAAATAACTAAATGAAAAATTGCGCCCATAAAAAGTAAAGTAATGATAAATTTGCCTGTTGGGGCTAGCATGGGTGATAAACTATAAAAGCAACCGGCTTCAGGGGATTTGATATGTGTTTGTGTTTTAAACTTTTGTCTTTAATGAAAGTTGATTTTATAAAAAATAAAAATGAATGAAAATGATAAATGATGTAAATTGAGAATAGTTTTAAATAAAAGTTGTTTTTAAACGACAAAATACCGCAATCAAAATTTTTAACTTAAATTAAAAAGCCATTTTTAAAACATAAATTTTTCAATTTTTGCTAGCGAATTTTTGTTTAATTTTAACTGAATGAATGATAAATGACATAAATAGAAACAGACACAATACAATGTAGCCAACAACAATAAAATTTATAAAAAATTAAAAAATTTAAACTTTTTACAAAAAATTGTTAGTTTGACATATCTAAACTTGTTTTTTAATTTTTTTGTTTACGTA